CCAGCCTGGGACGCTGCGATCGCAGGCAACTCGGCGCTGCGTGAAGTATTTTTACGTGCTCTTCAAGACGAAGGGCTCGCCAGATTGGGTTGCGCATTCGGAGAGGGGCTATTGGACATCAAGGGGTTTTACGATGCTATGGGGTGGATTCCGTTGGCCAGGTCTGCTCTTAGAATGGGGTGTCCCCCCGCGGTCCTCGCCCTGGAGCTCCAGATGTGCATGGCCCCACGCGTCTTATCCCAGCTTGGTGCTTTCTCCCAGGCGTTCCAGCCGTGGCAACGCATTATCCAGGGGCTTCGGAGCGGCACCAGATTCGGGAGGTGTATGGTTTATTATATTCTCATGAAACTTACCACTACGCACGTTAATATGTCATATCGTATTTGGGTCGACGATCTGACTCAGCACACGGCTGGTTCGCGAAGAGCTGTTCGTGAGAGTTTGCACCAGGGCATCCTGGACACGCGCACCGCGCTGCAGGAGCACGGACTCCAGATCGCCAGCAAGAGTGGTGTGCTTTGTTCTCACGCCGCTGACAGCAAGGCGGTGGTCCGTCGGCTTCGACGCCGAGGTTTTGATCTCCAGCACGCTCTGCAAGCAACCTATTTGGGTGTCGATTTGGGCGCAGGCAGACTCGCTAGAGCAACGAGGAGGCAGAGAGTCATCAAGGCAACGGCAATGAACCATAAGATACGTAAGTTCGCTCGCTCGAGTCGGAAGTATCGTACCACGGGGCTTCTGGAACGGGCGGGTGCTCAGGCTGCAGGGGCTTATGGACATCAGATTTCATGTGCTTTTGGTGAGTTTCGGGTCCAATGTCGTCGACGATTGGGTGCTACTCTTGCTTCTTCTAAGCGTGGGCGTTGTCTCACAATTTTGCTCGACTTGCGTGCCGACGGGCACGACCCCGAATACAAGTTGCCGCGCGATGGGCTTCAGCTGTGGTTGAGAACCTGGCTGAGCGAGCCCAGTATTCGCGCTCCTGTCCGTGCCGCCTGGCCTGGGCTTGTTCGCCAGCTCCGTGAGCTAGCACCTCGGCAGATTTCTCGGCATATACGGGGGCCCATCTCGTCCATCATTGCCTACCTACTTGGGTTCGGGTGGGACCAAGAGTCCCCAACAAAGTGGCATTCACCAGCTAGCTATGAAGACGCTGGGGGTACGTGGTCATTTCCCGATGAACTCGTCACCAGCTCTGAGGACATTAGCGGTTTGCTCACCGAGTTCGAGGGGTCCATTAGGTCCAGGCTATGGGTGAAGGCTTCCAAGCATTACTGTGGTGAGGCTTCAAGGTGGCTGACAGCGGCTCCCTCAGGCAGCTCCTGAAGGTTCTTAGTGGTGTACCTCATGGGGCCAAGCTCTCGGAGGCCATGTTGGCTATTGCTATCGGTGGGTCTTGGCCGTTATCCAGGGTGAAGGGCGAGACGGGTGCCATCAGCGACGACACGTGTCCCAGGTGTGGCCAGGATTCCGAAACTCCTCTTCATCGGGGGTGGACGTGCCCAGCTAACAGTGGGCATAAAATCTACTCGTCCTCGGACCACCTTCTTCCCAGGGCCCTGGCGGGCCAAGATGCCGAACCGTGTTTTTGGTTTCGTGGTCTCATTCCGAGTTCTTGGACGCAGGTGCCCGCTCCGAGCGCCGACGAGGCGTGGGAGCATTTCTCTTCGGTAGGTGCACCGTTCAGCGAGCACGCGCTCGGCATCGGTGTGATCGACAAGCCTCTACTGGTCTTCGGAGATGCCGGTGGGGGCGTGGATTCCAGAGACCGACGGCTTCGGCGCGTCGGAGTTTCTGCTGTTGTCGTTCGTGACTTCGATCACCCCGCAGTCGGTTCAGCCATCTTCGGACCTCTTCCTGGAGCTGCTCAATCGGTCCCTCGGGGTGAGTTGTGGGGATTCCTTCTGGCGCTCAGGCACTCTCGAGGGCCCCTGGTGTACGTCACGGATAATAGTGGTGTCTCTGACGGGTGGTATCAGGGATTCTGGAGGGCCCCGCGCGGGGCCAATGCCAACGTTTGGAAGGACATTGCTCGTGAGATGCAGTTTCGCGACCCGTCGCAAGTTTGTGTCGTGCAGATACCGTCACATATTGAAGCTGAAGATTTCTCGAGTTCCCGCTTTCCTGAGTTTCTGATCATCGGAAATCGCATGGCCGACGAGTTCGCTGGCCTTGCTGCAAAAAAGTCTCGAGTGGATGCTGAAACCAGGTTTCGAGTTGCTAAAGCAGAGGTTGACGCCAACCTTGTCCGTCGCAGGCTCCTGCGCGCCACCCTCGAGGCCATGGCTGCGAGACCGTCGCCCGCCAGGCCCCGACCTACGACCAGGCCGCCGCCTCCCCCCTCTCCCTCCTCCTCGGCTCTCTTTTCGTCCCAGCATCGACTCTGTGACGTAGGGAATCGTTGTGATAGGTGTGGGGGATGCGCGTCTAGGGACACGCTCACTGCTTGGAGGAATTCGGAGTGCTTCGATCTCATCAGTGTAGGCTCGAATAAGTTTCAGTTGCCGAGGGGGAAGATGGTCCACATTGGAGGGGGTTGGGTACACCCGTCCCACCTGCTAGTGTACTCCGCCACCCTCAGGGTTTGGATTTGCAGCATTTGTGGTTTCTTCGGAAGCGAGCAGCTCCGAGCGAATTTGGCCGAGGCATGCTCGAAGCCTCTCAATCCTGCTCGTCGGCGTTATCTCGCGAATTTCGAGGCAGGGCAATGGCCCAAAGATCAGGGTTCGAACCGAGCTAAGCCCTCGTAGTTCGTCCTCGTCGTAGTATCGAACCGCGATAGAGCCCATTCCTTTCCATTCCCCAAAGGGAGCTCCACCGAAGGCCCCAGTGGCTGCGCTCGCATACGGTTCCACCCCCCTTTTCGGCACACCCCTCACACGCTCCGTGGCCCCACAGGGAGCTCCACCGGAGGCCCCAGTGGCTGCGCTCGCATGCGGTTCCACCCCCCATTTCGGCACACCCCTCATACGTTTCGTGGGCCCATAGGGAGCTCCACCGAACGCCCCAATGGCTGCGCTCGCATGCGGTTCCACCCCCCATTCTCGCACACCCCTCACTCGTTTCGTGGCCCCATAGGGAGCTCCACCGAACGCCCCAGTGGCTGCGATCGCATGCGGTTCCACCCCCACCCCCCTCCATTTCGGCACACCCCTCACACGTTTCGTGGCCCCATAGAGAGCTCCACCGAAGGCTCCAGTGGCTGCGCTCGCATGCGGTTCCACCCCCCATTCTCGCACACCCCTCACTCGTTTCGTGGCCCCATAGGGAGCTCCACCGAAGGCCCCAGTGGCTTCGCTCGCATACGGTTCCACCCCACATTTCGGCACACCCCTCACACGTTTCGTGGCTCCATAGGGAGCTCCACCGAACGCCCCAGTGGCTGCGCTCGCATGCGGTTCCGCCCCCATTCTCGCACACCCCTCACACGTTTCGTGGCCCCATAGAGAGCTCCACCGAAGGCCCCAGCTTCTGCGCTCGCATGCGGTTCCCCCCCACATTTCGGCACACCCTTCACACGTTTCGTGGCCCCATAGGGAGCTCCACCGAACGCCCCAATGGCTGCGCTCGCATGCGGTTCCACCCCCCATCTCGGCACACCCCTCACACGTTTCGTGGCTCCATAGGGAGCTCCACCGAAGGCCCCAGTGGCTGCGCTCGCATGCGGTTCCACCCCCCTTTTCGGCACACCCCTCACACGTTTCGTGGCCCCACAGAGAGCTCCACCGAAAGCCCCAGTGGCTGCGCTCGCATGCGGTTCCACCCCACATTCCGGCACACCCCTCACACGTTTCGTGGCTCCATAGGGAGCTCCACCGAACGCCCCAGTGGCTGCGCTCGCATGCGGTTCCGCCCCCCATTCTCGCACACCCCTCACACGCTTCGTGGCCCCATAGGGAGCTCCACCGAACGCCCCAATGGCTGCGCTGCCCATTCATGAACATAGACTCGCTCGCACGCAATCCCATTCACAAACAGACGCACTCGCGCTCAGGCTCATCCGCGTTCAGTCTCTCGTAATCAGAAATATAATTGTCCTTCGCGTTGTGTGCCCCCACCACACATTTCGGCACACCCTTCATGCGGTTCGTGGCCCCATAGGGAGCGCCACCGAGGAATATATCCACAGTTGCGGTATTCACAACTACGTATGGTTGGGTCTTTCGTCAGGCTATTTTTGTCTGGGGGAATGTCTGCAGCGAGACACCTCGCCACACCGAGTTCGATGTCCGACGCCCGAGCTTAGCATGTCATGTGCCTGAGGGTTTCTGATGCGAACGCTTTGTTTTCCAGAACCAGCGTCGTAAAACAACTTCTTCAACATTCCCGTTGTGCCAGAACGTCTGATGCGAGGCGGCCTTCCCCCCTGAACAAACACCATGTTGAATATCCAATGCCCGATCTCCAACCACTTTTGAGAACCATCGTTGTATTCATATATATATATATATATATATATATATATATATATATGCACCCACCAGAATGTGTGAGGAAATCCCAGGCGAAACGCTTCCCCATGCCATGATGGATATCTGACGCCCGATCTCCACCACCTCAATTGTCTGAGGATTTCGTAGGCGAAAATTCCAGTTTGAGAAACAGCGTCGCAAAGCATCTCCTCCAACGCCCCGATGTTCTGAGGATGTCTCAGGCGAACCCCCCTCCCCTACACGATGTTGGATATCCGCCGTCCGATCCCAAACATGTCCATCGTGTGAGAATGTCTCAGGCGAAACGCCCCCCCCATCATGATGGATATCCTATGCCCGATTTCCGACACTCCAATTCCTTTTGAACGTCTCAGGCTAAGGCCGCACTTGGCTCCAGGCCGCTCGCGCATCCTAGGTCGGGCCTGTCCCTCTGCAGGAAGAATACAAGCAGATCGTTGAAAGTAGTGTTGGATGCCCAAATCCTAATCTGCTTTGGTCCGTATCCTTTTTGGCTCAAGGTGCCGCCTCTGTCGTCAGTTGCCATCCAGTGACTTATGACCACCGATCATGGCGGGCTACAGCTATCTTGACAAGGGGCCTCGCCTTTTCGGACAGCTTCCATTCTTTGTCAGCCAAGCTGTCAAGCTGTCAGAAAAGGACGGAAGATGCGTGCGTGCGCATTGCGTTGGTCCCGTTACGCAGTTAGCGCTTTGGCAGCCAGCCGCACACGCATCCGTGATGCTCTTGTTCTTATGGCTCGGGTTCGCGTGCGCGTGGCTGGAGACCCGGAGCGACAGCGAGGGAGACTTCTACAAGTTTTTGTACCATTTCCCAGCCGCTATTGCCTGCGCTGTCCTACTGGCTTGCGAGGTTCCGCCAGCCACAGAAATATATACACAGACACCCTCCATTGGATAATTCCTGGGCCTCAGGGGAGGGTGGCGGTGTATAAATCACCACTGGGCGCCAGCGATGTCATACACCGCCGCCCTCCCTGAAGGTACATGCAAAATTCGTCGGAGTGTGTCTGTGTGTATACTTTCGTGGCCTGCGAGGTGCATATCGCAAAGTACTCGAGCACCTGGTTCCGGGACAAGTCCGCCAGGCAGGGCCGGGGCGCGTGGGCGTGCCCGCCCGTGGTCGTGCTCCTCTGGCTCTCCCGCGTGTGCTCTGCTGGCGGGTCCGCCGGCGCCGAGCGCAGCGGGGCGGACGAGGAGGCGCTGTCCACCGCGACGTCAGAAGTGCTGTCCGGGTCCGAGTGCCTCTCCGATGCGCAGACGTCCAGCTTCTCATCTCACCACCTACCAAACCACCCCAACCCAACCCGAAGGCTTCAATTTGGCCTCCATTTCCAGTGGGGGGGGGGTCGGGGAACGTTGAAAAAACACATGGAACCCGTACCCCCCCCAACCCGAAATTCGGGTCAAATTCGGGTCTTCGGGTTGGGTTGGGGTGGTTTGGTAGGTAGTCATCATCGAGCGCGCCCAGCACATCTCGCTCCAGAGGAGGAGGCGGAGGGCGGCGGGAGGCCGGAGTCGGCCGGAGGAAGAGGTGGAAGTTCAGTCGGTGGAGGTTCAGTCGGCCCATGTGGACGAAGAAGTGGCCCAGCTGGGCGGGGAGGTCGAGGTTCAGCGGATCAGTAGGCAGGTCAGGCTCGTCCGAGGTGTTGACTCCCGCATCTGAGATGTCATCTGGCGTGCCTGAGGCATCGATGCGATCGGGCTCGCTGACACTAGCCGGTTTGTCTGACTCGCGAGGGCTATCCGATGCATTTGGCGAGCACAGCGACGCGCAGTTTTGCGCATCTGGCTCGATTGCTAACCTGGCGAAGCAGCCCACTGAGCAGCCGCACTGGTGCTTCCACGTGTGGTTGTTGTGGCTCCTCGTGATAGACATCGTGACATTGTACAGCCGGATTCAGGGGAACACGTTCATGGGCATGTTTTTATACATGCATCTGAGCGGCAGCATACAGCACATAGTGGACACCGATTGGGCAGAAACGCGTAACGAAGCGCTCTTCATACCTGACTCCATCCCGCTACGACCCCTCCTTGCTGCAGTTTTCTGCGCCCAGATCGGGCACTACCTGTACGGCATGGTGTACTGCATGCCGCGCCCTGGGTGGACGGCCGCTAGCCACCGACGTTGGGCATTCGATCAGCTGCGCGGCGTGTATGCTTGGATGGAATGGGGCAGGATGTTTGAGTTCGACATTGCGGGACCTCGCGCAGAACGAAAATCGATCACAGATGTAATCCAGTGGAGGGAGTGGGTGAATCGTGAATTCCAGGGTGGACGTGTTGAGGTGTACTACTATCTGGGAACACTGGGGACAGTGTCCGAGCCCCTTGATAGTGACTTTCCGCTTACCGTGGAGTGGACAGAGGCCGACACCAGTGATCCTCGCAAAGGGTGGAATACAATTTTAAATCAAGACAAGTGGGCGCAGTGGAAGGAGCGCAAGTTCAACGACCAACCCGTTTCCGTCAAGGCGTACCGTTTCGCCACACAGCTCACAGGCCGTCCAGGAGAACTTGTGACACAGGATTCGTGCCGCAAGTACGAGCCCTCGAAAGAGGAGTTCCCGCTCTCCGTATAGTGGACAGCTACCAGACACGCGTATACTAGCTTGCGCGGTTGGCAGGTGAAATCGTCTGAGCTTATGGACGAAATTGCAGAGTGTTGCAGCATGCAGTTGCTGCTGGAAATGCAGCTCGTGATCCTCCAGGACTACAGGAGGGTCTGGAGCCTCCTCGACAAGTATACCAGCCAGCATACAGGGATGACTCCACGAGGTCCGGTTTGGAGGGCGGAAGCAGAAGTCGTACAGGCGGTGCACACGCTCATGAACGACGCAGTCCTCATCGCCCGACGAGCCGTTTCGCGTGTCTTCGTTCACGGCGTCTGTTATTGTGGTGCCTACCTTTATTTCCAAGTCGTGTTGGCGAAGTCGTTGTGTTCGGGCAGGGGTTGGTATTGCGAACGCGGCCAGGGCCTTTGTTTCGGAATCGGTTCGGCGTTTGTGTCGATGGTCGTGGTGATATCGAAAGTTTTCCAAATCTTGCAATACAGCTGGTATGTATGGAGAACCAGCAATCGTTACCAGACGGCACTCATCACAGTTCCTGACCAGTACGAATTCATGCATAATGATATCACAGATTCCCGGAAGCAGTTCAACCTTCTATTTTTGATGATGGTGATAGTGTCGGTCTTTTTTGCGTGTATCTCCACGTGCATATTCGTCAAGTATACAATGTGAATCCATTCGCGCGATGGGCACATTGGAACGTGAAACATTCGCTTGACATCTTCAGCGGCTGCGTCTAGGTTCACCCATACATTGCCATGGCGCATGTAAGCGTGTACCAGCGCAGTTTTCCACAGCCTGACGCTTTAGGCCCGCACGCCGGCAGAAGACTGCCGCAGCACCCGAAGTTTGGGGCGAGTTCGAGGTCCGAGCACAGCTTACGACAACAACAACAAATCCCAATCTGCTTCGGGTGCCTTCCTGCTTCCAGAGTCGAGCGGTGCTCCTTCTTCCCTCCTCTTCGGGGGGCGGGCGGAAGCCCAATCTACTTCCAGCGCCTGCCAACGCTTGCGCACCCTATGTCGGGCCCGTCCCTCTGCAGGAAGAGTATTCCCAAATAGTTCGGAGGCTGATGGGCCTCCTGCCCTGTCATGTCGATTGGTGAATTGGCCGTTTTCGGTTCGCGAGGGGGCGTCGCGGCCGTGATCTTGCGGGTCCGGGTCCGTCGGTTTCGGTCCCAGGCCGTGTTCACCAGAGGGGGGTTTGCGAAAAGGAGGTTTAGCCACCGCCGAATGGTCAAACACTAGTCACTAATCTGGGGACTGTTTTTGTTTTGATGTTCTGACCCGTCCTGAGCACTCTTGGACTAGGTTGAGCTGTTCCTCGAACATCGGCCTGTAGGGGGACGGGCCCGACCTGATGCTCACCTCATCACATCGCCTCGCCATCTGCCACCTTGTCGTCGCCATCTTCCCTACGTCTAAGGAAAAAACATAAACATAGACTTTTGGCGCTCCGCGCGGATTTCTTGGATTTGCGGCGCCCCCCCCCCCCCAGCGGCGCCTCCGGCGCCGCCCCTAGCGCGCTCCCCGCGCGCCAGGGAGGCGGGGGCCAGCGCAGATCCAAGAAATCCGCGCGGAGCGCCAAAAGTTTATGTTTGTGGCGTTTCTTCTTCTTCTTATTCTCCTTCTTCTTCTATTACCGTCCCAACGGACAACATCGGCGCTTCCCGTTCTTGTCCGATCAGGTCTGCGTGCGGCTCCCAGGATGAGAAACAGAGGACAGTGCCCCCCAAAATCCGACCGGGAGGACCTCGGCGAACGCTCTGCCGATTTCTGCTTCGTCGCCGGCAAGGCCAGCAAGGCCGGGTTCGTCGAGGTCATCTTCTATAGCGACGGGGTGGTCGCCGAGGTCAAGGCGGAATGTGGCGCGCCTCCCTATCGAAGCTTCCCAGGTGGGATCCAAGTAGATGGGGCCAGAAGATCGAGCCGCATCGCCGATGTATCGGCGATGCGGCTCGATGCACAGCCACATTTTATCCGCGCCGACGGTGCCGATGCATCGGCGATGCATCGGCGGTGCGGCGCGAGCTTCCGACCCCGTCTGCTCGGACCTCGACCGGGAGGCCGAGAGCCCGGGCAGGGAAGGGTTGGATGGTTTCGGTCAGGGGTGGGATTGAGGTCAAGTCGGGCCTGTCCCCCGACAGGAGGAATATTCAAAAATAGTTCAGAACATGATACGGGGACGATGTTTCACGATATTTGGGTGCAGTCAGTTGTGACTGCTTTTTTGCTTGTCCCTCCGAACTCCGCCTGCAGGAGGACCTGCCCGACCTGAGACGAAGGGGAGGAGGGGGGGGGAGAACGGAAAAATAATGAGGGGGGAGGAGGTGGGTAGGGGAACAAAAAGTGGCATAAACATAAAAACTCGGAGGTCCGTGCGGATTTCTCGGATCGGCGCTGGACCCCCCTTCCTGGCGCGCGGAGCGCGCCAGGGGCGGCGCCGGAGGCGTCGCCGGGGGGCCCCAGCGCCGACCCGAGAAATCCGCGCGGACCTCCGAGTTTTTATGTTTATGTCACTTTTTGTTCCCCTAGGGGAGGTGGGGGGGAGGACGAGCTGGGCGGTCCCGCGCTACATCTGACATCCGATCCCGCCCCCCATCCCTTGCCGTTGTGCGGATCATGCCTCTATCCGCGGGCGCGGGCCGCGGCCGACCTGGAGCTCCAGAGAAGGCCCTGTCGTGCTGTGCGCAATCCGAAGAAGCGAGCTTCGTACGTAGGAGGAAGCGGTGGGTGAGGAAGAGGAGGAGGAGGAGGAGGAGGAGGAGGAGGAGGAGGAGGAGGAGGAGGAGGAG